CGTTTCAAGGCCATGCTAACCTTCGCTGTATCTTCCGCAAAATAGGTCAAGATTCATTCCCGTTGTCCACAAGGGAACAACAGTGCTGTCACTCACCACATGCACAAACAACAAAAAATGTGCCGCCGTATCTTTCCATTCTTTTTTTTTCTTTTCTTTTTTTTTGGAGCATGAGCCTCAGTCCACTACTCTCGAATGTGCAAAACGAGAGTGAATCTTTTCCTAGAACATGGAAAGATACACCGCCATGATTTTTGTCTTGTCGAGAGTAGTGGAGCGAGCCCCCATTTCTCGAGTTAGGTGTGTCAGTGTCGGGTGACCACAGTTCCGAACTTGACGCCGCCATTCGTGCCTTGCTGAAAGTTGGTTCGTTTTTCTTTTCCTCTTTTCCCTGTTTTCTTTTTTTTTTTTTGCCATTTCTGTTTTCTTTTTTGTTGTTCTGGTCGTTCGCTTCTGTTTTCAAAACGGCCGACCACCAGCGTTTGTCCGAGGCTCTACCAAACCGCCACCAGGCCTGCCGAGACCTTCCATGAATTCAGGAGATCGTTTTTTTTTGCCTGGGCGGGGTACTGGTGGTTTAAGGTAGCCGATCCGTACCTGCCTTTCGTTATTACCATTGTCGTGAGTCAGTATGGCATAGGTGTTGTTTTACAGCAAGACGATGGCAATGGGTATAGGCCCGTAGAGTTAATGTCCGCCAGGATGCCTTCAGAGAAGGTGGCGACATCAACCTATGGGAGAGAACTCTACGCTCTCAGGCAAGCACTAGATCATTGGAAGCACTACTTGCTTGGGAGGCACTTCAAAGTCTATTTAGACCACGAGACTCTAAGGTGGTTGAAGACTCAGGCCAAGATGACACCTAAGCTTACTAGGTGGACCGCAGAGTTAGACCAATATGACTTCGAACTGAAGCCAGTTAAAGGGAAGTACAATGTAGTAGCGCACGCTCTGAGTAGAAGAGCTGATTTTTTTGGGGCAATAGTTCACTATCTGGATATAGGGAGAGGCCTGCAGCAGAAAGTTAGAGAGGCATATGCACGAGACCCTATCTATAGTGATCTCCTCAAGAGAGTTAGGGAGGCCCCAAAGTCTTAGCCAAACTACCGCACTACGGATGGCTTACTATTCGAGAAGACTAATGTAGTTGATCGCCTGTGCATTCCCAACAGTGAAGAGATCCATAGTTTGATCTTAGGGGAATGCCACGATACAGAGGGACACTTTGGTTGGCAAAAGACACTAGCCAACCTCATGTGCTCGTACATCTGGCCAGGTATGAAGGCCGACTGCATAGAGTATGTCCGCAGTTGTAAAGTCTGTCAGCGAAACATGACTACTACGCGAGCCCCTCTTGGTCTTCTCAGACCCCTGCCTATTCCTGACAGACCTGAAGATTATGTGTCCATCGACTTTATGGATACTCAGGTCAAGCGTAGGCATGGCAAAAGTCAAGTCATGGTCAGAGTAGATAGATTTAGCCAGTACACAGTTTTTGTTCCTTTGCCTGCAGAGGCACGCACAGACTTAGTAGTTCAAAAGTTTTTTGACCATTGGGTCAGTGAGCATGGTATACTGCTGTCAATAGTTAGTGACAGGGATACAAGATTCACTAGTCAAAACTGCCAGGAGATGATGAAAGTTTATGGCTCAAAGTTGCTGATGTCATCTGGTCGTCATCTTGAGACTAACAGCCAAACTGAACAGATGAACAAGCTCCTGCAGCAAGTTCTTAGAATGTACATTAGGCCCGATCAGATCAACTGGGATGAGATGCTCCCAAAGATAGCCAGTGCCTACAATAATAGCGTGCACTTATCTACGTCTCGCACTCCCAACGAATTGCACAAGTCCTTTAGACCGCGCAGACCATTTGAAGGACTTAACCGGGATCACATTCAGAGGCTACCGCCCGGTACATGAGAGTTTGCGATACAGCACGAGAAAGAGATAGCTACCGTTGTTGACCACCTCAGGAAAGTCCAGCACAGAATGATAGAGCAAGCTAACAAGCATCGTCGCCCCTCACAGTTTCAAGTAGGCGACTTAGTCTGGGTCAAGTCAAAAGAGTTTGCTCCTGAGGAGAACATCTCACAGAAGTTGTTACCTGCGTATAGAGGACCGTGGCCAGTCCTAGAAGTCAAGGGTGGAGAGGATGGACCGTCCTATACTATTGAGATTCCGGCACACCTCCACACCTACCCAGTGTTCCATGCGTCAAAGTTGTTGCCTTGCATTACAAGTCAACAGTTTCTGTCACGCAGATCTATGATTCCTCCAGATATGGATGAAAGATATGACATTGAAGGGATCGTAGGTCAAGATGTCTTCTGGACAGGGGGTAGAGGTCGTCCCCTGAGGCAATACAAAGTCAGATTTGCCTATCAAGAGCCAGAAGACGGCCGCTGGTTCACGCGAACAGAACTCCTACAGACAACTCCCGATATAGCTTGAGCTTACGAAAGAGATAAGAAGGGTAAATGTCCTGCCTCAGACTGAAGTATTCTCGGAGGACCTCGAATTTAGGCCGGCAGGAGTGAAACGGTTTTCACCTTTCTGCAGCCATAGATGAGGGCCCTAGAGTTCGATCCCCAGACCTCACTTTGCCCATGTACAGTATTGAGTCGACCCCCGAGTGTTTGAATCCGTGATCTGTGTTTTGGTAGTTGTTTGTCGTCTGTCATAGGTCTGTATAGCGGTAGGGGTTTGATCTGTAGGTTTGTCGATTAGGAGTCACAGCTCTATAGAGGTCGTGGCTGTTGATGCTCTGAAACGTCAAGGTCGTAGCTGCTACAGCCCTGGAAGGTCAAGGTCGTAGCTGCTACAGTACCCGAAAGGCCAAGTCCACAGACTTTCGGAAGGTCCGGAAGTGGCCTTTCGAAGTGTCTCACGTTTAGTCAGAGGCAAGTGGGCAAGTGGTGAGCCCAACTGCATTACGTCGGCAGTGCGACTGCATCGAGTTGGCAGTGCTAACCCATGCAGTCAGCGGTACCGGTCCCAGTCAGTCAGAGTCCGGTCAAGCAAGTATCGGTGGGACTGTGTACACCAAGGGCTTGGGAAAGGGGCAGACCAACGAGTTACAGAAGCATAAATCAAGAGGCAGCGCCCAACCATTCATTCATTCGCTGCGTAAGCCATGCGGAAGCGCTGCTACAGCGTCTTGTGCGAGGTGGTCTGCAGGTCGCCTGAAGTCGAAGTGGGCTGAAGAGAGACATCGTAGCCATAGTTAGTAGTAGTAGAGCGGCCATAGCCGCTGTAGGAGGAAGATAGACTTTAGTGTGCTTGAGAGAGGGAAGTGTGTGGGGTATTCAGGGAGATCCAGAGTGGAGTGTGGAGCGTGTGTGTGAAACGTGGCAAACACAATGAGGAGAGTTGGGTGTACGGGCTGTATTGCGCCATAGCTGAATGAAGTGCGTGCGCATATGAACTGTGTTCTTGGTTCCATATATTTGAGCTTTGAGTGGGCGCTTGACGCCAGTGTGAATCGCCATTTGTTTGCATGTATGCGAAGTGGAAA